GAGATAACAGAGTTCTCTAACACAAGTTTTCTCATTCATTGGTGGTATCAGACTTTTATTTACTTCTAAACTCTAGAATATTTGGAGTATTTTTTGAATATGTGATATAGGCACATAGTACAAAATGTATAATCTACAAAAGGGAAAACGAAGTCTCTCCATTACTGGCCCCGAACCACCTGATTCTCTTTTCAAGAGGTGACCGTGGGTACCAGTTTCATGTGGATCCTCTTAGGAGTTGATTCTGCATTGATCAACATATAGGGGGGAATCTATTATTTTTTCACACAAGTGATTATTTTGGGACTTTGCTTTTTTAAAAAAAAAACACTTTCCAATAGATCTTGGAAGTCTTTCCATATCTGTTCATATAGAACAGTTCCACCCTATTTAACAGCTACAGAGTGTGTCATATGTTATAAAGATAGCCAGTTGTTTGGAGTGTTTATCTTAGATGCCAGTGCCTATGAATGATGTGCTATTTGATATCACATTATGAGGTTATATTAATAAATCCACTGTGTATTAAACTATTTCTTCAGGGCCCCCTGGGGGTGTAGTTGCCCAGTGGACAATAGTGTTTGCTCTAAGACCATACAGTCAAGACAGTTGAGTATCTCACATCAGTATTAACTGAACTAAAATACTTTTTGTTCTGGTCATGTGTACATCAGTACTGGGTTTTCATGAGTGAATGTTTTTATTCCTTTAAAAAAAAAGCTTCAATTTCACCCTGACCAGTCTAAGTAAACCACTCAAATGTAATTTTACTATAACTCCAAAAATATGTATCAAGGTGTCTGTAGCTTTAAATAGTAAAAGTTGGGTTCATACTTCACGTGAGAAAAATGACACTGTGGACCTTTGGTGTATATTTCTGTTTTTCCCTTAGGCTCTTTCAAGTGAATCATTTGAGAGACTTCCAGTTTTTAATAAGTCAGCATGGCGCCATTACAAGACCACACCTGAAGCCGACGATTGGAGCAATCCCAGCAGTGAACCCAGGGATGCCTCCAAATACAAGGCGAAGCAGTAATTTACCGCTTTTCTTTCTATTAGGAAGGATCTGATTTTTGTCCAGAGTGTACAATCCAGACAATTGATATTTTGAGCCAAATCTTTGTGGTTTTGTCCCTGGAAAAGCAAAGCAATCCCTAAAGAAAGAAAGATCGGAGTAGCTTTACACCCCAGACAGGAAGGATGGCAAGAATTGGGTAGCCAGAGTAGCAGTTCCAATAGAGGCCCTGATGCTCCAGGAGTCCTTGCCCCATGGAGGTATTAATAGCAGTAAGCAGGGTTTATTCTGCCATGAATCTTATTTAAAAAGTAACTACATCTGTAATTTGTCATCATCCGTAGAGATTAACAGAAGAGTGTTTAGAGAAAGTCTGTAGGTGCGGGTTGAAACTGGAAAAATAAAGAAGTTAAAATTATCAATCAAGATAAACAAATGTGGTTTATCCATATAGCGGAAAATTATTCAGCCTTTAGAAGGAATAGATTTCTGACACATACTACAATATGGATAAACCTTGAAGTCATTATGCTTAGTGAAATAAGCCAGACCCCCAAAGGACAAATATTGTATGATTCCATTTATGCAGGGTACCTGGAGACAGAAAGAAGAATGGTGTTTGCCAGGGGCAGAGAGCAGGGGGAAAGGGAACTTAGTGTTTAGTGGGTACAGAGTTGCAGTTGAGAAAGATGAAAAAGTTCCGGAGACGGACGGTGGTGATGGTTGCACAACACTGTGAATGTACTTAGTGCCACTGAATTGTACACTGTAAGAAACCTTTTTTTTTACCATCTTAACCAGATAGTAAATTTTATGTACAGTTTACCACAGTGAAAAAATGAAAAAGAGGAAAATTATCAATCACAGAATAATAAGTTTTACTACTTTATGGTAATAAGGACAATAATCCAATCTTTAGTTTCCAATTTTTTTTTCTTCTGACTACCCTTAAGGTCCAGTTCTATAGCAACAGTAAGGATTCTGTTTATTTGTTTAAGTTAAAGTAACTTTTTAGTAATAGAAAAGCAGTATATGTATACTGTGAAATATTAGAAAATGTAAATAAGGAAAAAAAGAAAAGAGAAACTCCTATATTCCCACGACCCAGAAATGACCATTCTTAGAGCTTTGTATTCTTCCAGATATTTTGCAGTTTGAACATACATATATGTATTTTTCCCCAAATGCAATCATACTTTTCATACTGTTGTACAACCTGCTTTTATTTCACTTAACCATCCCCACCTTTCCATGTCAATAAATTTTCATCATGAAAATTCCCCTGATTTGTCCAAATGGGAAATCAATTCCAGGACCACATAACACATCTGAGTAGGTCTCAAGCTGTTTTTAGTCTAGAACAATTTTTTGTTGTTGAGAAACCGTACCAGTTGTCCTGCAAAAATGTCCCACTTTGATTTGTTTGATTTCTTCCTTGACATGTCATTTAATTTGTCCCCCTTTCCCTGTGTCTCCTATAAACTGGAAGTTCATCTAAAGGCTCAAAGGAGCAATTTTTTCTAGAATGTTTTATAAATACTATTGCAGAATTACACTATAAGACCCATGATATCTGGTTGATCCACCGTTAGTGATGGTAAAGACTGACCATAACTCAGATGATGGCTATCTTAGTATAGTTAATTTTCCCTTCTCAACTAAAAAGTAATCTGTGTAGTGTTATTTTGCCACCAGGCAACCACCACCTAATGATTTTTAGCACCAATTGATAAATTTGACCTGAATCAATAATTTTATGAACATTTATATAATGAAGAGGGTTTTTTTAAGTATCATTCCTTTGACGGTTATTAGCTGACATTCTGCTCTGAAGTTCTTCATCAGCTAAGGGCATTTAGGTACCTTTTGAAGTACAGTTCCTCCTGGTAAGGCAGGGCAAGCATTTAAATCTTTCCCTTGAATTACTAATTTTCAAGGTAAGAAGTTGAGTTAAAAAGCACCATAAATGGTGACAAATGAGCTTCTGGCTTTCTTGTTTTTAAGTATTATTATGAATATTATAGATCTTTATTGCTTTGATACGTTTCAACCAGTACTCAACATGTGTGTATATATATAAAATGCACAGATCTTGAGTTTACAGCTTGATGAATTTTCACATCTGTATTTCCAGCACCCAAAAAGGCTGCTTTCGAGTCAAACTCTTCTCCTTCCCTCCCCACCATATAAGCCTTATTCCAACTCTGTCTGCTTTTGCTGTATCTGATTCTCACTTCTTGAACTTAAAAGGAACACATAGTGTGTGCTCTTCTAGTGTCTGGCTTTCTGTGAGATTCAGCCATGTCACTGCATGTAGTGGCCATCTTTTTGATGTGAAAATTGGCACATCTTTGGCCAATGGAAGAGATTTCAAGCCAGATCCTCTGTGTTCCATTGAGAAAGCCCCGTTCCTCGTTGAAAGCTTCCTTGCTTTCTGGCCCAAGATGATGTCCTAGGCTTGTCTTACACTTTCCCTAGAATCAGCCATGATCCTGAAGGACTCCCGTTTCCTTCTAGTAGATATTAGAGACCCTAATCTGGGAGTTGGGGCTGTACATTACACCTCTTCTAGCCCCTTTTTCTGGAAAGACCTACAAAGATATGTTTTTTTAATCATTAAGTTCGTATTGATATTTTTATTCTGTTTTAACACTGCAGTGTATCTCCCTAATATATTTTAATTGTATACATTTCCTCTTACCCTGAAAACCTTGATTTATAAGATAGTACAACAGAAAGGTATTTGTATGCAAATAGTTTCTATAGCTTTGTGATTTGGTACCATGACAATAGCATTGGTCTTTTCTGATGAATGATGTAAAAGGTATCTACACTGATGTTTATTTTTTCTGTAGAAGTGTTGTGATGGACCTCTGTACAACTTTGCTGGACTGGTCACTCACCTCTGATGATGAAGTTTAGAGTTTGGTTTGTACATATGAGTGTGAGCGTACACACAGGTGCATGTACACACATACACACACACACCATCCCCAGCCAAGATTAAGCTAAATCAACTTGAAACACCTGAATCAGTTTCCTCTGATTCCATTTTCAGTCTGTATGTAAGTCAGGTAGCATGGTGGGCATCAGTGTGACCAATGAATTCTAGCCATTGGTCTGGTAGGGGGAGTTATTTGGGTCGTACAAAAGCAGTCTTTATAAATATTAAGATCCATTTGGATTGTAGAAAGATGGCTTTAATTGAATATTGTTTTAAAGGCTATTTAAAACCTTCAAATAGTTTAGCAGGTTGTTAACGCTAATTAAGTATGAGTCTTCATTTCTAATTTCTTATTAGACAAACAAATTTAAGCAGAAAGCAGTTTCTAAGATTCTAAAATGGTTAGCCTGATGCTTAAAGTTGTTAATTTATACAAAGAGGATAATTGGTGGTAACCTTGAGACAGTATTTAGTAGGTATGGTACATTCACTGAGTGAATGAGAAATTCTAAACTTTATTTTCTAAGCAGATTTTTAACAACAGCTTTATTGAGATATAATTCACATACCGTAAAATCTACCCCTTTAAAGTGTACAATTCAGTGGTTTTTAGTATATTCACAGAGTTGTGTGACCCTCGCCAGTGTCTAATTTTAGAACCTATTCACCATCCCAAAGAGAAACCCCATACCCATTAGCAGTGATTCCTCATTTCTAATCAGGTTTTTAACTGAGAGTAAAGAACTGTTTTAAAGTAGATCTAAGTCATTAAATGGTCATTCTTTTTCTGTAGTAACCCTAGAGAATGATTCTGAGATAAGACATGGGATTTTGAATTATCATTGTAACTAAAAGCTCTGAGTAAGTCTCGGTTAAAATAGAGAAGGTTGTCCTCATAAACTCACTCTGGATATTTCTGTTATTTTCTTTGTAGGGACAAAATCAAGACTAACAGAACTTTGTAAAGAACTGGATGCTTCGGTCCTCTCTGTGAAGAAGAGATCGTCTTCTGCAAGTCAACCAGAAAGAACTTTCGTCCACCAACTCTGAGTGTGACACCATACTTAATCCAGTGCTTGAATGTGTATTTTCTCCATATGAGCTGGACCTTTTCCACAGATGTTTCCTGTAGCAACTGCAGATCTTCTACTAAAGTAGTAACCTGAGTCATTTTTCGTAGTGTGATGCCCTGCTCTGGTGGGCGCCTGTCGTGGGCAGGCACGGAGCCCGCTAGCGCTCTCGCATCCTCAGACCTCTCTCCTCATTACCAGGGAGTTGAGTGTCTGCGGTCTCCCCAGATTCCTAAGCTCCCGCACCCCATTCCAGGTACAGCAGGTCTCTGCTGTTGCTCTTTGTGACCAAATACCATGTTTGTCCCAAACCACCAACTAAGGCCTGGGAGTCTGCAAGTTGGAGACAGCAGCTGAGCGTGTCTTGATAATTGGGTTCCAGGGCCCTTCCTCTCTCTTGCGCATCCCTCCTTGCTCTCTGATTTAGACTTTGGCCTTCTTCCATCCGATCGGATTCTCATTGTGAGGCGCGGGTACTTTTGTGTTAGATCTTCCTCTTGGATGCATTGATTTCATTTTGAAATTCATTTGTATACTTCCATTCTATTGATTAAAGCGTTCCAAAAGTTGTCTTGGAATTTTACACTTAACTGCTTGGTTTCAAAGATCTTAAGTGAAAAACTACCTTCTGGTCATTATCAAGTTTGCGAAGAGGGGGAAGTGGCATGTTTATCCTTATGTAAGAATTTTTACCACCAAATACTGTCCCTTTGTCATAGTGTACTCCTTTGCAGTTTTCTAAGCCCCTGTGTGATGCACTTTACTAGTTGTCAAATAGACTGTTGAAGAGAAAAGTTCTTTCTGGTTTATTTTGAAAAATACCCTAGGGCTTCATAATTTACATTTTCATGAATTTTAGCCAGTCTTAGAATTGTCAGTCTGATTTTCACCATCCTTTACTTTTTGCTGAAAGATGGAATTGGCAGAGGACTTGGGGTGAGGAAGGAGGGCCTGTGTTATATTTACTCTGAGAAATGGAAGCTATTGGAGAGTCCGGATGGAAATCCACAACCTGTAGAGCTACACAGGATGCATTTGTCTTCTCTGTATTTTTTCATATATATCATCTACTTTGACTTCTGCCCCTTTTTAACATCCATATAAATGTTTCCATTCAGTGTTTAAGTATTGAGCCCACTGATTGAGAAGCTGTAACTTGTACAGTGGTCCTCTTCCTTCAGTCCTATGACAGTACCAATGCACTTGTCCCCGCTGCCATCACAGTGGGGCTTTTCCCCCAGGTGGAGCTGGGCTCTGACCAGCTGCGCTTGGGTAGGTGACAGCTCTGTTGCTCTTAGTTCCACTGAATCTGATATTGTTCCATTTTATGACGTTACCTGAGCTCATGGTCCTTCCTTCATCTTTAGAAAGATCTCATCTCTTCCATCCTCAGAAGGCTCTCATGAGGGAACTCATAGTTATTAGTTGGGTAAGAAAAAGACCAACATGCTTCCAAGATATGGGGGAGGAGCTGGTCCCCATGGAGGCCCGTTTTTTGAGGACTGAGTCAGTGTCTTGGGAGTGGGGCTGATTCCTCTGATGATTTCCTTGTGGTGTAAAGATGTAAAAATGACAGCCCTTTGTGTTTAAAGAGCCCGGCTTTCTTATAAATGTCAGATCGCCTATCAGTATCTGACTTGGCCTCCATTTCCAACCATAGCCCTCTACACTTTCAAGTACGACACACTGGAGGGGGCGGAGGCAGCAGCTTCAGGAGCGCTCCCTCCTGCCTTGTTCTGGCAGCGTTTTAGTGTGCGCCTGCGGAGTGCCCCGTGATCATGATGCGCTCACAGCAGGCTCCCTGTAAAGGTTGAAGCTGGCAAAGCTGATAGGGAAAATCCTAGCACGTTCCTCCCTTTCCAGATCTTTTTCAAAAGTAAAGATTTCTTTCAATGTTTTAATGACTGACTTGGTAGCTCTTTACTGACACACTTTCTAGATTATTCATATCCATCTGACCCCAGTACAATCTTGCCTCTCCTGTCTTTGCTTTCTGCATTAAGAATTTAACTTTGCTTCCGAAGAAACCATAAGAAGAATTTCAGCAACAGTTAGTGTTCCCAGTTTGGCTGCCCCAGGTATTCATTTATGCTTCTTTTTTGACTGTACGTGACTCTTCTGGACTTAGGTGTAACCGTCGGGCTATTTGCTGGGTTTTGTCTCTAAGCAGACAGTCACATTTCTACATATCGGTTGAAATATCAATAGCCATTAACTGTTTTTCAGCTAAATTTGTTTAGTTCTCCCAATTCTTCTGTGTTTTCCTCTCATTTACTTGATTTTATTTTAAGTATTTGGGGATGGCATCTACTCTTTGAAGTAGTACCTGGCACACAGTAGGTGCTTAATAAGTATTAACTGAATCAATGAATGGAAATTGACAGATGTTTACCTTGGGTGGTGGGCAACACCTTTCTAAATTCTTAAACTATCTTTCCAAATTAAAAATAACTCAGGTCAGGAGCTGTGGAAATACTGCATTTCCTTTTTATCGTGGTAAGAGGTGACTTGCACATGGAGAGAAAGGAAAGAAAGGCAGTAGTGATGGTTCCACAGGAGCCATCTGACCCTTTCTTTGTCTCTGAATATCTGATTTGGACTCCTTAATATAGTAGGTTCTTTCCATCCAATCAGGTGACGTGATTTTATACCCTTGCTTATAGATTCCAAAGAACTTTCACACGCAGCATCCTATTTGAGCCTTAGGATGCCAAGAAGTGGACCATGCAGTTTTCTGTTTTTCATATGAGTTCCAAAGCAGTTCAGTCATTTGCCAAGGTGGCATGGAGGAACCAAAGTGAGTAATTGGGTCATCTTGTTCTTCAGCCCGAGCTCTCAACAGTGAACCAGGTAATTAGCATTATCTCTTTTGAGGAATTTCTTGGTTATGTTAACCCTCAAGGGTAAGATACAAACCAAATTTTGTCTATAGTGTCAGAGAATTCCATTCAGGAGAGGTTGTCTTCTGTGTGTTTTCATTTTGGCATAGTTAGTTAGAGGAGATAATCGAATAGATTTGGTGGCTTTTACCTAGAAAGACAGGCAGCTTTATAAAATGTCTGACTGTAGATAATTACTAGAGTTATTGAGACTTAATTCTATGTTTGAATGAACTCACAGCTCACTGCCAGCTCCCTCATACAAAGACTCCATATTTGAGAGTCGATGCTTTTATCTTTTGGTGGACTGGATTACAGTTTCAGTTGGATTTTCTCACATAGTTGCAAATGTTTTTCTACTGCTGTCCCTTATGAACAGTAACTTGGCTGGCGATCAGATTCTGAGGGTACATCTTTTTTCCCTCAGTTCTTTGGTGACATCACTCTAGTATCTTCTAGCATCTGTTGGTACTGAGAGGGCTCAGTCCAACCAGATTTTTCCTCCCTTTTTGTAGGTGACCTTCCTGTTTGCCCTGAGTGCTTGTGATTTCCTGGTTATCCTTGAAACGCACTAACTTCATTCAAGTATATCTCAGAGCTGACAGTTACCTGTTGGCTTTTTCAGGTGCACAAGGAGCATCCAACATTGACATCGGCACCTTACCGCATTTCTTACTGGTTTATTGGTTCTCTGGTTTAACAGTTTGCCCCTCTATTGGCTGTCTGTCCTCTGTCCTTCACATTCATCTAGCCTTTGACCGCATTGGTCTCCTGGTCCTCCTTCCCACTGTGTGATTTGCTCCTCAGATCTTACCCTTCCATTGTGCTGACACTGTTTGCTGTAGTGTGCAGTGTGGCTTTCACTTCTGTTACAGTTTTATTTTTTCTCTTTCTGTCCTTAGCTCCGCCAGCTTTTCCTCTCATTGCGTTGTCCTCTTTGACTCATTGCGTTTCCTGGAAGGCTGAACTGTTGCCTACCATTTTTGTGGTCTCTGAAATCATCCTGTTTCCAGGGTGTGTATATCTGTCTTTTGCTTCTTTCACCCCTTTCCTTCCGTGTTGTTTTGTTCTTTTATTGTTGCACAAGCATCGCGATGGCTTTTTCGGCTTATTGTCTGGTCTTTGCATGGGACCAGTTCTATCTACCAAGAAGGGTGTGGATAAATCCTCCTTGACGCCTCCTCTTTCAAGTGATAAGTGTTTGATCACCTGAGCCCTTGAACCATAAGGCTGGATATCAATAGGTTATAATGGCAGAGGCTCTTTTTCATTCTGTTCTCTCGACCTGGCTGAGGGAGTGAAGCAAAGCCTCCTCCGAGTGCCTTCTGTGGACACTGTTGATTCCTCTGCCCTGGGGTCCCACTGAGGGAGAGGGACGTCCCTTGAGTTTCCCCACGTCCACTAGAGGTCTCCCTAGCAGGCGTGTGGTGAGTTTGTCCTTCTGCTCTGCTGGATTCTATGTAGTCTGTGTGTTTGGCTCTGAGTGACTTTTGCTCTCCTCTGCGCAAAAAGGGAGCACCTGAGATGCCAGCCTTTCCTCCTAGGTTTTGCTTCTGGAAATGTGACCACGCAGTGCACCCTCAGCTCATCCTGACTGCCGCTGGGCTTTGTTTCTCCAAATTAAGACATAATTGGTAGCATCCTTTGGAACCGTCTCCACCGCAGCTGCCCAGCAACTGTGGTCCACTTGACACCTGCGAATCCTCTTTTCATTAGTCCTCCACTTGGTTGTCAGACACTCCCCTGGAGTCCTCGCTATGGGGTGGTGGCTTTGATTAGTTTCATCGTAGGCAGCTTCTTTTTCAGCTTGTGGATGTGTGTGTTGAAGGGCAGGAGCACTTGTATAAACATGCGCTCATTCTGCCATCTTGCCCGCGGTCCAGGTGCTTAAACATTGACTTTGAAGATAATGTCCTTCCTAATCAGCAGCTATGTGCTCGTAAATAGATGAAACCAATGTCACTTGCAGGAAAGAACCGTTAATAACTTAATATAGGATTTTTGTTTATTGTTCTCCTTGGAAAGATAACTTTTAACTTGAGATCCTGTTCCATTGATTAGAGAAATCTAGACCTTCTGGTTTGAAAATGGAAGACGTGACATTTTAATGAACTTAAGAAGTTACCAGGCACCGACAATGATTTATTAGTTAATTAAATATGATGGAATATTTCAAGCTAGCACATAATCAGAGTTATCAAGAGAAGTATAAATTATTTTGTGTTAACAGGTTTCTAGTTGAGCTGCCCCCCATGAGGGTGGTAACCCTGTGAGAGCTGTTCTGGGACACAGGTTTTCTTACTGGTCTTTTTAGTCAACCCATTTTCAAATTTGGTTCATCAAAAAATAGAAAGGCGTTAAGTCCTCATCAGGATTCTGTTTGATATTCATGAATACACACTGAGATGGTTTCTGGGTCTGGGACTGACTATAGAGGCGAACACATCATAGTTTCATTTACAGGGGATCACAGCTTAGGGGTTTTATTTGGCCTCAATAGGATAGAAGGACAGTAGGATAGAAGCCTCCTGTCCTCAGTGGCCAGTGTGTCCCACTGGGCACACTTTTCTCATCTTCAGAGCTGAGTGCCCTGATCAGGGAATGCGAGTGACAGCCTCGCTGTGTGCCCCACACTCCACTCTGCGCAGTGCCTTCCCCTCAGGTCAGCCTTTGCCCTGGGGCTGCCCTGTCGTGAGATGCAGAATGAAAGAGGCACCACCCGTACAGGACGAATGAAGGGAAGAGGGTAGACGGAGGAGTCGTGGAAAGGAAAGCCACATGTGTTCCTCGCTTTCAATAATAGCGACTGTCTCCAATGCGCTAGAAACCGCACGGGGCTGGGCGCGGGGTGTTGATCACAGCGACGGACCCCCCTGACTCACGGAGCTGGTGGGGGAGTCAGATGAGACACTCACCAAGGGCAGTTTTTAGTACAGTTGGGAGAAAAAGGCAGGAAGGGGGTAGCAAGGGGGGCGTAGGGGGCGGGGGCAAACCCTGTGAATGTTGTTTTCACCGTGGACGGGTGTGTTCCTTAGGTGAGGAAGCACTGCTGGGTCCTGAGTTCTTCTGTCCTTTGTCTGTGTTCCTCTGCATCTGGAGAGCCCGTTCCCGGCGGGGCTCCGCGGGGCTCTGCACCGGCCCTGCCGCGGGCCGCGCTGCGGCGCTGGGTCCGTGAGCGGACTGAGCTTGTTGCGCTTCGTTGTCTCAGCGACCCGCGGGGAGCCGTGGTCGGATGAGAGGAGCCAGCTTTTCCCGTCAAATTGCACTGAATGATGTGGGCTGCTGTTTCCTCATAACAAAGATGCAATTACAGCAGGTTCCGGGTGTGTCTTTTTAGAACTTCAGAAATCAGTATTTAAACCAATTCTTCCCACTTCCAGCATCTGACTGATGGTGCTGGAGTGAAAATAGCTGCTTGTCAGGAGGAAAGACCCTCTTTAGCGCTTGCAGACTGGTTGGGGAGGTGGAGGAAAGGATTCTCCGAGAAAACTTTGCCGCTCATGTCTGTAGGTTGGCGTTAGCTGTGTTCACGGTCCCTTCTCACCAAGGTGAACAAAATCGAATGACAGCAATATTGTGGTCACAGAATCCTTGAGAAACCTTTGTTTCTGCCTTTCCCTCTGTCTCTAAAACCTGGACTTGAATTGCCCATGATCCCGGTGATGGGGTCAGTGCAGCTGGGACAAGGAGAGCTACTCATACTGTGGCATGGGTGGTTCTTGGTGGCAGTCTCGCTCCCTCGGAGGGAGCAGCAAAGCCGGGGAGGACACTTTGGTTCTCTGACACATGCCTGTCTACCCCAGGGAGGCTAGACTGCCAGAGCAAGAGATGGGATGCTTTGAATGATTCCCATGGGTAGAGCCAATTTGTCATTCTTTAAATTGACTTATTTCCATATAAATGAAAGCACCTTAGGGCATCACTACTGAAAGCCTCTGAACAAATGTCTGATACTGTTAAGTGCCTGCATTAAAAGAAAGCCCACCCCTTATGTCTCATTAATATCCTCGCAGTGTTTAATAAATCAATAATAGTTTTTGCCTTCCTGTCTCTGTATCCTCTTCCCTCCAGCACTGCCGACTCTGCAGGGGCGGTTCCCATCCCAATTTAAAGTGGTGATTTCCAACCTTGATGGAGTCTGCGTATCTGTTGAAGAGGATAAGTGGTAGGGCTTGATGCTTGGAGTCCCATAATCCAGTGTGGACAGTTGGGAAAACTTTCTGTGGGATTTTTTTTTAAAGGTTAGAGAACTGAGGAGATTTTGTGGTAATAGCGGATCCAGGAAGCTTGCGGTGAAAAGAGTACGAACTTAACCTGAAAAGTTTTCCTCTGTTCTATAAATCTCTCAGTGACATTTGGATTAATCAAGCATAATTAAATGTAGCTAGGTTTTTGTCAGATTGTACTTCAAAATAAAATTCATCTATGGAGAGGGTAATATATTCTGTAGAAATTTTATTAAGCACTTTAGTTAAGCAAACACTAAGGAGAACAAAATCAGCCTCAGGAAGGTTAATTACTAAAAAAACACAAAGTATAATAGATTATGTAAATCATTTTAATTTTGAATACCATGGCTTGGGCTTTAATTTACATAGAGAGGTATTTCAGATTTGTTTTTCACGTCATGTTTTCCACAAGTGCAAAATTGCGACTGCATTCTTTAAAAGTTCTCATCACTTTCAGTAAGTTTGCTTACCTTTTTCATGTGACAGTTTCCAAAAGTGAAGAATTATGATTGCTTTCTGTAAAATGCAGCTAATTATTTGAGGATTCCACTAAGTTTGTTCCAATTCTAAAAACCGTATCTTTATTTCTGTACCTTTAAAGAAGTGATATTTTAAGAGAGGTATTAGGATAGAGAATGTATATGAAAGCATCCCGCCCATGCCTAGTGTCTCCATAAATAAAATGACTTTTTTTTTAAGAAAAGGTAAAACAGGAGAGTTTAGACGATGATGATATATCTTTTTATTTTAGTAATTTCTTTAAAGGAAGAAGTGAAGAGATTGAATTGATTGTAGAAGTTATATTTTTCTGTACTCAGAGAATTACATTTTCACGACCCTTGCATGTCTCAGGGAATACACTTTGGTAAGAATCCCCATGGAAATCTCTGAAGGTCTATCCTGGTATGCTCAGATCTGATCATTCTTGTCAAAATTTCTAGAGCTAGAGTTTCACAAGTATTGTTACCTCGGGAATGCAAGATTACCCGAGAAACTTGAGCCTCACCCTTGTCACCACTCAGACTCTGTGCTTTAGGCTTTTTCATGATAAATACCACCTAAAAGTCCTTTGTTTAGTGGGTGTACCAAGGTCTCTTCATCATGCTTACCTGAGATTTTCATAGAAAAACCCTGCAATTTGATTTTGTTTGATGATTTTGCTTCTTGGCTTTTCAGTGAGGATTCTGTTTTCCATTGGAATTGAATCCTTGGGGGATGATAAAATTTCACTTAAAAGAACATTCTATTAAATAATTCTAACTTTGGCCAACCTAAAAGTGGCCTGCTAATTTGAATTCTGTGCATAACTTTTGCAGATGGGCCAAAACAGCACAAATTGTCAAAGATCACATATACTGTAAGCAATGTGTTTGCCCTGCAGTTAGCAAAGGAAAGACATGTCTAATTCTAATGGCTCTTCAGTTCATCTTTGCCTTCCAAATTGGTTGAAAATGGCAACTTTAGAGTGGAATTCTTACTAATAACAGAACCACTTAATGTTTTAAAATAGTCTTACCTTGAGATTCCTTTTGCAAGATAATAACAAGAATCTTAACATCCAGTTGTAACTGTTTTGGCTCTTCATATATGCTCGACATTAAAAAGGCAATGACAGAAGTTACATCTGATTGGAAGTCACAGGCATTTGCCGTTTAGCCGTGCTCGATGGATAAGAGGAGTGAACCGAGGAGTTGGCGGAAATAGGCAGGGTGGGCATAAAATGTTACATTGCTGTTTAGACTACATCATGGCACCTCTTTCTTCCAAATTCCATTTTCTTTTCTCATTTGAACACTTATATCCATGGGAAACCTCAATCAGTATTTTAAAAGGCACTATATTTACATGAAGAACTGGCTTGTGCCTTTATCTAAAACTGCTGAGGTTACTATCCCCCATGTTTCATTTGAACAAATGTTTTAGAATAATTACAGCTAAAGCCTGTCACTGTAGGGGTCTGAAACCCTGGAAACTGCCCGCCATCAGAGAGGGAGCAGGCCGGACTACAGGCCTGACACCTGGGCTCGCCGAGCGCCGTCAGGAGGCAGGTTGTGTCCGGCTGTCATAACCAGCATAAAATGTCAAAAAGAAGGGGCTTGCCAGATCCTGTATTTGCTCCCTTTTTTCTCTAGCTGCCTGTGTAACTTCCTGGGGACAACATCACATAAAGTCCTTTGATATCTTGCTTTTCAATTTTAAAAGTTCCTGTTAGAGCTGGCACGTGAGTCTGTAAGGCTAACCCTGGTCCCTGCAGAGTTTCTTGGTGGTAAAGTCATTTGAGGTTGTAATTGCTGCTTCAGGTTTATATGCATCCTCAACAAAAGTACATGAGTGCTTGTAACTTCAATATTTTCCAGATTTAGAACACAAGCTGTGAATACTTAAGAAATGCTTAAACCAAATAAGAAAAATCAGCGCGGAGTGAAGTATGCCATTGCGGACATATTTAATGTTGCATTTAAATGTAAAGTCACTTGGCTGATTTTTCATTGTTAACTCCTTAACTCATAAAAGCAGTGTCTCAACCGGAAATGATAGCTGATTTAACAAGAGAAAAAGACTAACTTATATATGAAATGAAAGTTCATTACAGTGTTTGTAACCCTAAGTCCAAATCTGACCTGATTTCACTTTGGGCAGCTGTCAGCTTAGTTACAGTGAAATGTACACACGTGTCCAGCGTTCACAAGCTGCCTTGTGGTTCATAGAGTGAAGCCCGGCCCTGCGTGTTCTGTGCTGTTCTGTGGCCTGACTGGTGCACACTGTCACAAGTGAAGGATGACTTTGGTTTGAGGTCATTTGTTGCTCTGCATTCCGTGAAGAAAAGTATTTTTGTGATTGTTGGAAAAACAACCAGGGAAGTGTGTGGCTCAGATAATGTTCTCCATCAGTCATGGAGCCATCTGTGGTGTGTGTCATAGCCAAAGTAGTCCTGAAGCACGTGGACAATTCTGTACCACAACCGTCGAACAATAAAGTGGTAGTTGTGTTTCACTGGGCGTCAGTGTGGTCTTTCCTGAGTTCTGGTCTGTAGTCTCATCCCTCCCACCTGTAAGCTTCGCCTTCCGCTTGCTCAGTTTCTAAAATTCAGTACATGAACTGCACCAAGCACCTTTGCAAGTTGCTGGGAATGGACAAGGGTACTTTTCAAAATTCTTATGATCGATCAAAGCGAAAACAGGTTCTTTGGCTTCTCGGTGGCAGGGAACATTGAGCTCATCTTTTGGGGGAATAGCCTATTGGCAACATAAAGGAACTGCTTAACAGTCAACTGTTAAAATGGTATTATTTCAAAACACGATCCATGGATCGAAGAATGGGGACCATATAATGTATTGTCCAAGCCAGGACACTTTTGACAGGGGGAAAGAGCACTATTAATAATTATGCTGTAAACCACGTAAACAGGTGTAAACCGGGACTGTCCCGGGCAAACTGGGCTTGACTGGCGGTGGACCACCTACACCAGAATTACCTGAGATGCTGGTGAAATGCAGATTCCTGGTCTCTGCCTCAGCTCTGCTGATTCAGATACTCTGGGGTGGAGGCCTCGGAATCTTTATTTTAACAAATGCTCCAGGACAGTCCTTTAAAAAAATCTATGTTGGGATCTGCTGTCATACAGAATATGCAGAAGATAAAAAACTTGACATTTTCAATTCAAGGGCTATTGGCTCCCATGGTCTTTTCTGAGGAGCTGGTGCAGCACCTGCACCAGAACCCAGTGCCTCCAAAGACACTTGAGTGCAGTTAGAAACTTCCTGAATAAGAGATGGAGTCTTCATATTATTTACCAATGTGTCATTCTTTTACTAAACATTCAATGGGGAAGGTGTGCTTTTTTAAAAATTTGAGAGCCCCTAACTGCTGTTTTGTGTACTTATCACAAAAAAACAAAACTTCTAGAATATTTGAGGCAAAAAACTTGGGTTTACATGATTCCTGGAGAGTGTTAATGTCAGGAAATCAGCACATCTGCCTTGGTTCTGCTACCAGCTAGCTGTTAATGGTGCTTAAGTTTCCTCATTTATTAAATTAGGGAGTTGGCCTGCATGGTTCCAAGGTTCTTTCCAGGTCTGATGTTTTAGGGCACGTCTTAAAACCTGAAATGGGAAGCAGTTACTAACCAGCTGCTTTCATGTTGTGATGTATTTTGCCCAAATAATACCAAATCAGCGACTCTTGAAAGTGACAATTTTTTAATTGTCCATCTGTATTTTACCAACAGTCAGTCACTGTGCTAACGCATCATTCACAACTGGGGAAGAACATTCTCGTAGCAGCCACTCCTGCCCTGTTTGGAAACTCAGAAAGTAAGTACGGTTTAGACTCACAAAGAGACCCTCACTCAAGAGTGTGGTTCCGTGAGGCTGCTACAGAGCACTTACTCTGGTGTCTGTTTTTACTTCCTTGTCCTTCATTTCAAAATTCTTTCCCATGACTTAACAGTGCATGTTCACAGCTGTTCTCTGCTGATATTTTCAGGTGTTCACTTCATAATAACCCAGAGGCGTCCTCTCTGATCACATGAGTGTATCATAAAGCGTCCCGTAGGAGGGCTGCCTCCGGGAAGGGTTTCTGGAGACCACCGCCCACCACGGGAACTCTGACAGCGGGAATGTGGTCTGTCTTTGTTGTCCAGTATGGTCACCACTAGCCACCTATGCCCTTAAACTGTGGCTAGTTCAACTGAGGAACTGAATTTTTTATTTGTATTCACTTAAATTTAAATAGCCATCCGTGGCTGTGGTGACTGTATCGGACAGTGCAGCTATATACAGCTATTGCATGCTGTTGAATTTTTTTTTAACT